GATCAAATGGTCAACAAAGACCACAATACCCGTATTTCCATACGAATCCTTCGTTAATCCAAGCAGGAAGACCATACTGATGAACTCCCAACACCCTTTGGGTATAGGCAAACTAGCCAGCGGCGCGCCCGTGTGAGATGAGGGTTTCACCCGTTGACACGTTTCACACTTACGCACATATGTGCTCACCCATTTGTAAAGTTTGAGCCACCAATAACATTGGCGAACTGAGCCGTAGGTCTTCTCACGACCGAGATGACCACTCAACGCAGTATCATGTGCCTCATAGAGGATCCGATACCATGACTACTGATCATGAATGACAACGATGCGAGGGGAATACTCCACATCCGTGCTATAGCACAACAGACCTTGATCAATGGAATATCGATGTAACCTCGCACGTAATCGTGGCGACAATTCTATGTCCGAGTCCTTAAACTCCTCGCTCCCTAGAGCACGTAGCAGAGCTACACAGTGTTCATCTTTGGCATATACCGTACGGATTAGGTCAGTGACCGACGACGGCAGAGTCGTAACATGAGCAAGCTCATAGTCAGGCCTGCGTGACAACGCATCAGCCAAAGCATTCTGCTTGACCGGCTTATACTTCACCTCGAAATTGTACTCGGTAAAGAAGGAAAGCCAGCGATCCATTCTCTGAGAGAGGTGAGGCGACTAGGTCGCAGTGCGTAGTAACGCATGATCTGTATAGATCAAAAACTGCTTGGATCCAAGAAGATAAGCTCTGAATTTGGCGAGAGCATACGTCATTGCAAGTATCTCTTTGTCATGAACAGGATATTTTTTTTTGAAGTCTTCAGACGCCGGGACACAATTGCAATGACGCGTTCCCGTTCCTCGACATCGGTTTGCAACATACCTCTGCCTATGGCAAAGTCAGATGCGCCACAGACGACACTGAAAGATCGATCAGGATCAAGCAAAGCCAAGATTGGCGCATGAAGGAGACTCTCCTTTACTGCTTGAAAAGCATCATGCTCGGTGCTAGTCCAGCACCATTACACATCCTTTATAAGGAGATTGGATAACGGCCGAGCCATATCTGCGTACTTCGCACTGTACTTGTGTAAGTAATTGGCAAGGCCAAACTACTTGTGTAAGTCCTTTGGAAGCGGCAAGTCAAAATGGCTTTTACCTTAGCGGGATCCGCTCTAATGCCTCGCTTCCCAATAAAGCACCATACGAAGAAAATCGCTTCTGCAACGAAGATGCACTTAGACGCGTTGGTGTACAATTTATTCGTGCGCATGCACTCGAGCACCGCTCGTAAATGGTCAATGTGATTGTCCACATCTGACCGACCGTTCATAGCACGACTATGGACAAAGATGTCATCAAAGTACGTCTGTGCATATCCTCTGTGAGGTATAAACAATTTTGTCACAAGACGATTAAACGTAGCCGGGGAATTTGATAACCCTTGCGAAAAAAACAAGTCACTCCCAGAGCATACCGCTTGGAGTGCTGACCACTGTCAGCGGAATATCGCATTTTCGCATGAGAAGCTGGTAATAGCCATCGACTAGTTCAAGCGCACTGTACATTGTACATCCTACTATGCTGTTCTGAAGAACATCATTCCTCGTAAATTGGTGTCTGAGCCGGGATAGTGGCCGCATGAAGCTAAGTGTAAGCATGAACAATGCGCCACATCCTATTGGGCTTTTTGACACAGAAGGTCGGTGTGGAATGTGAATATTTGCTCTCACGTACCATTCCTGCCGCGTGCTTTGCGCGAAAGAAGTCGTAAATGACGTCCTACTATTCCTTCGGTAAGGCCACTGCCGTGTTACGCAGTATTGAGTTCCAGGAACCAAGTCAATTTCATGACGTACACCTCTATCGGGAGGTAAGAAGGACGGTGGGTTGTGACACACCACGTCTTGAAACTCCTTTACCAAAGCATAGAACGGATCAAGAGTATTCTTAAGGATCGAAGATCCACTACGGGCATCCAGTGCCACCCTTGTGTCCTCAAGGATAGACTCGTCCAATAACGAGGATGAGTTTAGCTCAATATCCGGCCGAATGACCACTAACTCGGATAATTCTCCTGCCTGTAAGGCTTGGCTGACTTTGCCAGCAGACGTCTCGTCTATTTCAAAAAGAGTGTTCAAGGATGGAAGAGTCTCAAGACTAATGTTGCCATTAATCTGGCCAGTCAACCCATTGATAAGTTTATATAGTGTATTATTACTATTATCACTTCGTGACTTCTTAGACGCTAGGCGCTTAGCAGTTGCCACCCTACGCTGGTATTTTTTCCTCAAAGAAACCCTCACGCCTTCTGGAGGCCGGGACAGTAGGGTCACTGTGGTTGCTATTTATATGAGAACGCTCTATACGGGAGCTCATGCCTTGAACGACATCTGGTGAAGTGTTGCGTAACTCGAACACTTCACCCAGTAGATTGACACGTACCTCTTCACGTACAGCATCCGGGCTCATCCTTGAACACTCTGGATTCTCTCCATCAATGTCATTACCGACATTCAGTGAGGTGCCACCTCGGCCGCCCTCACTCGGTGTAATTTCACGTGCCACCCCACTCACATCAGAGGAATTACATTCTTGATGTCTCAGCCCTGAGCCTATCATGCCTGAAGCATGTAGTGACTCAGTATCGCAACGAGTATCACTCAACGGATTATAACTCCCCTTACATACGGTGAAAGAGCTCCGCTCAATATGGATGTCATTGACATTGAAGATATTTAACTCGGACATACTAATGTCCAGCACATATACATCTTCCGTCAAAGGCTCGCGCCAATAGTGATTTTGTTGCCTAGCAAAGGTGGGTTCATGACTCTCCAAAGCTTCGCTAGGAACATTGCGCGTGGCGCCTAAGGTCTTCGACCTCCAATCAATCCATGACTCATGGCGTTCAAGCCAAGAAATACCCAGGATGAGATCATATCTCGAATCCAAATCGAGGAAAAGACAGCGTTCAATGCTGTCAAAGTCCGAAATCTTCACACCCGAGTTCAACGGAACTTTAGGCACCGTGACGCGACTACCAGTCGCTAAATGAACGATGATTGAATCTCCCCCATGCGCTTTGAGCGCTTCAGCGTATCGCTGACTTCCCTCAATGAACGACGTCGAGCATATTTGCATGCTGATCCGGAGTCTATTAAGATCGATCAATGCTTCTCAAATCCTTTAACCTTCGCTTCGGCGACTAACAGGCCAGACTTGTATCCACGCTCTGTGCTGGTGGGCACATAGCTCCGTGAGGCTAAGCCCAGTTTCACTCTACCTCGTAGAGAAGCAACAGAACTCAGTTCTACCCCAGTAGGGCAACCAGTAGAGCCCCCGCACCTACTGGGTGTCGACGTTTCTCCGTGCCATACCAGACTTCTGGTTGTGGCTGGAATTTCGACCCATATGAGTCGGTTGTTGCTTACGCAAAGGGCAAGTGGGGCGCAAATGTTTAGTGCTTCCGCACATATAACAGCGTTTCACTTCCTGTTGTTGCTCCGCAATCTGAAGCTCCGCTTCACCTTCATCTTCAGCATGGCTGAGATCAATCGGTTCAGCCTTACAGTAAGTCAAGATGTTGAGTGAGGTTGCCCTCGCAAAGATTGGGTTGTACCCATTCCAGCCAAGTCTGGCCGACTTGAACTTGTGCTCAGCATTTTGAGCGATGTTAACAGCTTCCTCAAAAGTAGAGAAATGGACCCGAAAGACCTCGGTCCTGGCAACGCCATTGCGCAGACCTTCAATGAAGACAGCCACATAGACTGTCTCGGGGAGATGGTCAGACTGCATAGCAGCCATCAGAGTTCTCAACGCTTGGACATAGTCCGTTAACTCATTCTTACCCTGACAGGTAGACAAGAAGCGTGAGCGCACGCGATAAGCCTGGTTAGGTGGCGAGAAAACTCGCAAAAGGTCTAGCTTGAGCGAATCCAATGTGGATAACGTCAAGTCAAACGACGTGCTGCAACTCAGAGCTCACTTTCGAGCTCTCCCATCGAGCTTAGTGTTGGACAGCGAGACTCGCTGGTGTCCAAGTGAGATAAGGCCAGAGCTCATGGCCATCGCGATCTCACGGATCCAGTAGTGATATTTCCCCCCTCCTTCCCGGAATGATGTTTAACGTCCACCCGAAGGGAACGAGGCTTAGCCTCTTCTGGTATCATTGCCACAAAGCGTGTTGGTATATCCTACACTACTTGGTTTTGAACCTGTCCTAAATAGGCCGTTTCATACTGTATGAAGGTCTCGACACTTGCATTGAGCACATCGGGACCTTGTGCAGCTAGAAATCCCACATACTCTGGGCCTACGGACGTGGTCAGCTTATCAAGCGCGACCTTTTGGGCCTCAGAGAGGGGTTTGGATCTCTCCATCCTCACAGAGGATCAGTCGTTACCGACTCAGGTGTAGATTGACTACGAGTGCTACCAAGTGTAGAGGAGCCACACAGCTCCTTAAGTCAGAGGAAGTCTTAACGCTCAATGAGCAACTTTGGTTGTACGGACCCGACTCAAAGAGTCAACAGCTCCGAGAGCTAAGGTTTGGTATAAATAACCCGACTCAAAGAGTCAACAAGCTCAGAGAGCTTACGGTCCCTGTTCCAGGGGGGCCAAACAATTTAAAGAATCGTACGCACTGAGTGCACGGGTAGTAGCTGCCTTAACAAGGCGTTGCTACTTCCTTAACGATCGCAAGACTCCTCAGAGAGGCACGTGTCTTTTGTTGATCATAATGGGAACTGAATTTTATTTCTTCTTTTAACATAAAAGAACGCCGTAGAATAAAGTAATTAACCTACTCACTTATGACCTAGATAAACCTATTAAACGATCTCGTAATCAATGGTTGACAGACATCAGTCTTCAACAATTGATACTTGTGTTATAATATTACCTTAAAGGGGGTCCCATCCCTTGTGTGTACCACACCTATTGTCGACTACCAGTCGACGTGCAATCCCGTTACACGTGAAAGTGGAGCTAGGTAAGACAATGAGTTTGGACTTCGTGAGTCAAAGTCGTGAAAAATTGAGCGGCAGGCGGTCGGTTTACGAGGAGATTTTGGGCGACAATGAGTTTGTGGAGATTTTGGGCGAAAATGAGTTTGTGGAGATTGGTGACGACCGCATCAACACGCGTGTCTGCATTGCAAGCTTCAATCTGCGATGTTCGATGCAGGAAAAAAAGTAGGCAGCTTAAGTGGAGGTGAGCGCAGCCGTGTCCACCTAGCCAAAATGCTGCTGGGTGGCCACAATGTGGTGATGCTGGATGAGCCGACGAATGATCTTGATGTCGACACGCTGCGCTCGCTGGAAGCTGCTCTCACGGACTTTAATGGCGTGTCCATGGTCATCTCTCACGACCGATGGTTCCTCGATCGTATTTGCTCCCACATCATTGCGTTCGAGGGTAACGGCCGTGTCGAGTTCTTTGACGGAAACTACACTGAGTACGAGCGGGAACAAAAGCGCAGTTTTAACAACTCGACCTGAGCCGTCATGACAGACTGGTAATCGAGTTGCTGGTGTGTGATTATTTTGTATGTTTGACAGATAAATGGGAACATCTTGTAGCTCGTAGAAGTCTGTCAACGCAAGTAGTTTTGGTAGACGCTGCGACGCATCGAGACTCGCTTTGAATGATAGCTCTCGTTCTACACATGGGATTAAGAGGTCGAGTGATATGACGATAATATAGAAGCAACGCACAAGTCTCTTGCTCATGCAATTTCAGGCCTGTGTACTAGCAAATCCATCAGAGGATATAAACCCATTTGTGTCTCAATCGCAGCCGCTAAAGCCGCTACTTCTTTGGCTGGACAATGGCGAGCACAAAAAAGCTTCCGGCTTTGACCTGGTTCGAAAGTGTATCTACGTGTTGTGCGACGAGCAAATCTTTTGCCAGTACCACAACTGTACAAAAGTCCTAAAACCAATACAATACTCAACTCAAGTATAAAAAACCAATTAAAAGTTTTAACTACATTATACTTATTTGTATCATGGAATAGGAAACTGATTAATTTCCAGGGAGAGGCGAGACGGCAAAAAATTAAAAGACAATGGCAGCAAGTGAGGCAGCAAGTGATTTACATATACAATTTTGGCCTATTCGTGCCCAATGCTAACATACGACATAGTCACCAGAACCCATCGTGCATCTTTTAAATCGTTTTTTTTTGTAGCTATAGAAGACTGAAATTCCGTATTCGACTAGTCTTCCAATTGAGGGTCAGCAAGGATCATTCGGAGTCAACAAGTGGGGTGGCACGGTAATCAAGGCAGCGCGCTGGCTCAGCAGTTATACTAGCCAAGACTCTAAAGAAGGCTTCGGTGCTGGAAAGCGCGGAAATATAAGACCGTATGGGGCTCTAAGGGTCTGACCGCGCCCGACAACCTCGCAACTGCTCCACCTGGAGCTGGTAGACCTGTGGGCACTGGGCTGCCCGATCGTACAAACAAAGGGCCAGATTATCTACGTGGGACAAGGTTGGCTACGGTCCTTCGCCGCTATAGGCAGGCCAAGGACCGTACCCTCCCAGTCTTCCCAACAAGTACCGCAGCAAGAGTACGATGGACCTAGAAAGTATTATAACGACGAGCCCTCGAGTGCTAACGAAGCGAATTGCAACGTCGACGAGCGGCAGATGTTAGCTCGTATATCGTAGGCGGTATTACCGTTGCACCGTCCTCAATAACTGGGGCTCGACGCGTCTTGTAACGGGGCATCCCGTTACGTGGAATTGTCACTTTAAGGAAAGTGACAATAAAGAATATGAAGTTGAATATTCTTTGAACAATATCACCAAAGTGGTGATATTGATGGGTCGACCAAAAAGTCTGTTCATTGGTTGATATCTTGATGATATCAACCCACCGATCGCCGCAAGACGCGCGCAATGAGTGGTGAGTAGACGTCACCATACACTCAGTTATATAAACATAATTAAGTTAAGTCAAACAGAGAGACAGTAGTTAAAAGACCTAATTATATTAATATAACAGTTCTACTTTTTCCCTATCTTCGCTTCCTCGCTTGCCTTGTGTACGTCTGTCGGGGAACCGATACCCTTGCGTTAAGTTCACGCAAGGGTGTGCCCCGTTACACGTCGGGCCGATGGCACGCTCCACGATAACTGCTAGCCGTCGAACAATTCGTACCTCCACGCGTCGTGCGTCCAGCCGGAGGAACCAGCAGCAGCATAATCTTCCAGCCTAATCCTCGATGGAACAACCTCCGCCTCCGCAACAACATCGCGCGAAGATCGCTTAATATCTCATTTGGCGCGCCCTCAGCTTTACGAGGCCCAATTGCTGTCCAGCAGCCACTGCCTCCACTAAAGCACCACCAGCCGCAGTAAATGGAACCGATACAGCAGCAATAGATAATGATTGTTGTGGATGGGACATCAGGCGACGGTTTGTCGTCGTGCTGATATGATGGTCACCGTCGCGTGTGACACAAGACGAAGGGTGATGCAAGGTTAAATCAGTTGAACCGGATACATATGAGGGTTTTATAAGAATGAATATACTTTTCATTTTTCACCCACGTACTGAGTTTTCCCCGAGTGCGGTGTTCACACCTGTGTGTGTGGACGATACTTAACAGATTTTGAACCCAAACACGGGTATAGCGAACTATGTATAGATGGAGACAATTACTTCGTATGGGAGTTCAACGCGCGAATGAAGTTCGCCAAGAAAGGGATGTTGGAGCATATCGACGCGACGAAGGCACCGAGTGAAGATGACGCAAGCGCGACTATATAAGAGTCAACGATATGAACGCCTTCGCAAACGTGTATACGATGATCATCTTAAGTCGTAAATCATTGGTTTGGAATGCAGCGACTACGGCAGAAGCTTGGGCGATTTTGAAGAGTTTCTTTCTTCGTAGAAGTATACACAATCGGGTGCAGATGCGTCGTCAGCTGCATGAGTTTGACATGCAGAAGGGATCAAGTGTAATGGACCATTTCCTTAAGTTCGATAAGCTGTGTATGTCAATGCAGGCCATCGGAGACGAAGTCCCGCACGATGAGCGACTCGTAAATTTTGTTTAGAAGTTTCTCTGATGATTACGACCCGATCGTCACGATTATCGAGACCATGAGGGACATTGATCCGTTTCAAGCCAAGGAGATGCTTCGTCGTGAATACGAATGCATTGCTCGGAAGGAGAGAAGCGTAATTGCGTTGAAGGCGACAAGAAACTCCAAGAGCAATATTTTCGTCAAATGGAAACAAGGAACAAGATTTCTGGGACGTGTTTCATATGCGGCAAGTATGGAAACAAGAAACAAGACTGATGGAAAAATCTAGATGAGAACAACAAAATGCGAGCAAGCTTTAATTGTGGTTGAACAAGGCTCTGAAGGTTGGCTACTCGACAGTGGTGTTAGTAGTCACATGTGCCCATACCAATATGAGTTTTTGGCGATCAGATCGCTTAATCGATCTGTTAGCATTTCAATCGCATGTGTAGAAACAGTAATGGATGCTGGAGTCGGGACTATTCGTGTCTTTCGAAAAATAAAAAGCCATTACGCATTGAAGACGTGTTGGACGTTTCAGAGTTGGATAGTCGTCTTCTGTCAATTCCTGCATTGTCTTAAAAAGGGCTACATGTAACATTTCGCAACAAAATGTGTGAGATTAGGAATGATCTAGAAGTGTTGACTCAAGTGACCCAAAAGGGTATATTGTTCGTGCTGGAATGTTATACATTGGAATCTGCGAACGTGAGTCATGAGGTTGGTAGTGAAGTCAAACCTGTCGGTTCCAGTGTATGGCATGCACGATTAAAACATATGCCGGTGAAGGCAATGAAAAACCTTGACAAGTGTGTTAAAATTTTCAAGTATCAAGATTTATTTATCGTTGTAGACGATCAAGACAGAATATGCGAGGGATTTGTTACTGGAAAGCTGTCCGTCAAGCCGTTACCAAGTTCGAGTCGTGGCGAAGTGAAGACCACTGCATTGCTCCAACATATTCACAACGTTGTCATAGGGCCAATGGAGAACAAGTCGCAAGGAAGAGCAAGATTTGTGGTGACATTTCTTGACGATTATTCTCGCTATGTGGTTGCCTATTACATTGCGCACAAGTCCAATGTGGCCGATAAATTTATCGAGTACGAGTCGATGATGGAAAAACAGCTAAGTACCAAGATCAAATGTGTTCGCACCAATACTGGTGAAAAATTTATCAACATGCGGTTTGCTTATGTTTGCCGAAGTGCTAATATATTACACCAAGCAATAGTGCCGTATTAGCCGCAGCATAATGGAATGGCTGAAAGAATCAACTGAACACTAACTGAACGAGCAAGATCGATGCTAAATCACATGCAAGTTGAGAATAGTTGGTGGGCAGAAGCGATGAATACTGCGGTTTCTGTGACTAACCGAGTCACGTGCCCATCTTACTGACCCAGACCCCAGTCGAAGTGTGTTTTAGAATCAAGCCAGACCTGTCTCACATGTGAGTGTTTGGTTCTAAAGGTCAAGCTCACGTTGCAAAGCCCAAACGTCTCAATATGGACAAGAAAGCATTTCGCTGCATGTTCTTGGGTCACTCACATGACGTTAAGGGATACCGTATTCGGAATTAAGACTTTATTGTAGTGGAGCTTACGCGAACAGTGACTTTACAAAAGCTGCCGAAGTCTAAGTATGTGCAAGCGTTTAGTGATCTACCTGCTACTGTACGTGTAAATTACGAGGATGATGACGATGCAGACATTGTGCAATTACCTGTCGTGGTTGGTCAAAATGACGTTGAACCGATGGTAGTGAATCAGATTGGCACCGATCAAACAATTTCAAGCGCTACTCAACGTGACGTTGAATCGATGGTTGTGTATCAGACTGGCACGGAACGAACAATTTTTCTCCAAGTGAATTTGAGTTGCTGAATCTACACCAGTATTATATTAATGGGCCTGATCATGATTTCGATATTAATGATGTCTACATAGAGCTTACCGATCTCGATGTACTCGCGACTCGGGATATTGTGTCCGGGGAGAACTTGGATGATATCAATGGTTTTGTAAACGTGCAATCATATCAACATGGTGGGCAAAATTCCCCGCTTGTGCTACCACCATCTACTAATGAAGAAAGAGCTATAGTTCCTGTCGGGATGTCGAATGTATTAGCTACTTCGTGCAGTAATGAACCTGAGGCTTGTGCGTCAAAAAGGTATCGCATAGAGTATAAGAAAGCAAACGCAGCGCTCGAGACTCCAGCGACTTACCAAGATGCAATGGCGTCTCCTCAATCCAAGCTGTAAAGTGATGCGATCAAGACCGAATTGAAGTCACTTGAAGCAAAGAATTCATGGACAGCATTGAAGAAATATCCAAACCAAAAGGTGATTGGTACCAAGTGGGTATTCGCAATCAAACGAAACGAACATAGTGATATTGAGCAATTTAGGGTCTCGTTTGTGGTATTAGGTTAGTGACAGACCTATGGAAGGGA